AATGGGACCTCCTGAGACTGAGAAGCTTCTGTAAGACAAAGCCACATTTAAGTAATTAGACAATGGGAAATAATTACTGTTGGTTATGGGTTGATCTGCAGTCATCGATTCTCAGGGGTATTCCTGAACTGGTGTGTGTGTGTGTGTGTGTGTGTGTGTGTGTGTGTGTGTGTTTTACCACCACCTTTCATAATTCTTGTGTTTCATTCTCTTTTGCTTTTGAGATAATGTCATACTAATGTATGACAATGTAGCCCACATTAGCCTTGAACTCACAACCCTACCCATCTCAGACACTAGAATTCTGGGATTACAGGCAGATACTACTATGCCTGGATCACTATTCACAATTCTTTTTTTCTTAAGAGAATTTTATTAAAGAAATGGAGTCATTTGTCCTATAGAGACAAATGAGGTTTTTTTTCTTTCTATAATGTAGAATGTTTCATGCTCAGGAGCCACGCTCATATTCCTGTATCATCCAGGCCTAGCTCCTGTACTGCCTGAGCAAGCCCAATGACTAGACAGCATCTGTATCCCCCATCACCAGCTGCAGTGGTGCTGGAAGTAAGAGACCCCCATGAAGGCCCATTTGGAAGACTGTCGGGGAATGGTTTGCCAACTGAACCATAGGATCTTCATTTTAAAATTTGTATTTCTACATGATAGTTTTAGGATACTGATTTTTTGAGTTTTTAAAATATTTCCAGGTGTATTTTGTCTGCACATATGTATGTGCACCACGTGTATGCCTAGTGCCTTAGGAGGCCAGAAGAACACGTCGAATTCTCTTGAACTGGAGTTACAAACTGTTGTAGGATGGGAACAGAACCCAGGTCCTCTGCAAGGGCAGCAAGTGCTCTAACCACTGAGCAGCCTCTCCATCCCACATAATTCTTCATAATATTATTAGCATTCTTCAATAAACAAAAATTCTGAAGGCCCCTTATTGCAACTCTCCTCTCTTTCTTCCTTCCTTTCTTCTTTCCCTCATTCCTTTCTTTGTTTTGCATCTGCGTACATTCCCTGTCCACAAAGAAATCTTTTCAGGCTTTCCCTTGGGCACCTTTCCCATGGCTGCACCTAAAGACTCCCTCCTTTCCCTTCTCTTAGGCAACATGGACAAGCACCTTCGTTTCGTCTCTCTGTTTGGCTGGTTCCTAGTGCTCCAGCCACATCTGAGTTCCAGCTCTTCCACTGGGTTTCCTGTCTGGCCCTTCCCGTGTGATTAACCCCTATGGGAACCTAGAGCAGACTCTTCCAATATCCTTAGCCCACACTTGCCTCAACCCTCTCACCCTCGGGCCACGGCGACCAGGCCCCTCACTATTTGGGGCTGAACACTTAGTTTCAGATGGATTTACATGACCCTTACTACCATTTTTTTTTGTCTTTGTTTGTTTGTTTTTGTTTTTCGAGACAGGGTTTCTCTGTGTAACATCCCTAGCTGTCCTGGAACTAGCTCTGTAGACCAGGCTGGCCTCGAACTCACAAAGATCTGCCTGTCTTTAACACCTAGGCAGTAAATAGGGAACAGTTGGAAGCGGGAGAGTGGACAGTGGCACAAAATACACAAATGTTAGTCCCCTCCTCCCGCCAACTCGCATAAACCTTGCCTGTCTCTTTTAAGACTGGCATGTGAGCTGGGTGATGGTGGCGCACGCCTTTAATCCCAGCACTCTGGAGGCAGAGGCAGGTGGATCTCCATGGGTTCGAGGCCAGCCTGGTCTAGAGAGGAAGTTCCAGGACAGGCTACCCAGAGAAACCCTGTCTCAGAGAGAGAGAGAGAGAGAGAGAGAGAGAGAGAGAGAGAGAGAGAGAGAGAATGGAGGGAGTGCACTTCTTAGAAACCATTCCAGCAAATTTTCTCTCGGTGTGGTCAGAGATGTGTAAATACCAATGCTTAAACCAACCGATTGCTAGGGAAGAAGATGAAACGAGATGGCTAGGATTGGATTATATGGAATACATGGCCTAAGGTTCGTTATCCAAATGGAATCGAGGCTCCACGGAAAGGAGAAAAAGGAAAGGAAATAACTTACACTCTTTTTTTTCTATTGGTTTGTTGTTGTTTTGTTTTCTCTGTGTAACCCTGACTGTCCTGAAACTCCTTCTGCAGACCAGGTTGACCTTGAAATCAAGGTTTGCCTGCTTTGATATCCCAAGTGCTGGGACTAAATGCATGGACCACCACTGCCCTGCTTCCTTTTTGTATTGTGAGAACCCAGGCCCACTGGTTTTTAATCATTTAGCTGAACTGTAATATTATAGTTACAGATTCTGCATCATTCCTACTGCCCGCAGATCTATCTTGTAAATTATTACCCATGTGACCCAAATCCAGCACACAACATTGGTTTTAGCAGTTTAGCCATTGCTAGCAGTAGGCTTACTGTTTAAATAAAATACTGTGGGATCTGAATATGAATAGCCGACCACAAACTCTGGATTCAGGCTGGTGCTCACTGAGGAGGAACGAGGGACTCTCACCTTGCCCCACTGATCAGCCTTTTGAGTGATCATGGAGGGTAAACGGACCATGAGTTGAAAAGCCAGGCAGGCTGTGTAGGATGAGGGCCCAGCCAATGGTGGGTGGGGCCATCCCTGGGTTGTTGGTCCTGGGTTCTATAAGGAAGCAAGCTGAGCAAACCATGGGAAGCAAGCCCCTAAGCAGGACCCCTCCATGGCCTCTGCATCAGCCCCCTCCCTCCAAGATCCTGCCCTGCTTGAGTTCCTGTCCTGATTTCCTTCAGTGATGAACAGCAATGTTGAAGTGTAAACCAAATAAACCCTTTCCTCCCCAACTTGCTTTTTGGTCATGGTGTTTCATTGCAGCAGTAAAAACCCTAACTAACCCAATAGACACAAAGAGATATTGCAGAATATAAGAGATAAAAAATGAAAAGGTATTGAGGGAAATTAGCAAGGCAATTTAGATTGGGCTACATATACACTCTTTCTTACCAAAGCACTCAGCAGCAGGACCCCCACCTACACTGACTGCACACAAACCCTTCTCCATATAAAGCTACCAGTCACTCTGACCTGTAGTTCTCTAGAAACCCATATTAATCCCTCTTTTGTGCTCAAATACATCTTGGAATATATCTTGGGACCAGGGCAGTGGGCTGGTCCAGACTGAACTCATTTTGGGTGCATGTGCTGGAATGCAAACTACATCCCGTGAGTAAACTCTTAGGAAAAATCTTTTGCTTGTGCGTAATTGGGCATGCCTGTGATCAAATTCAGATGCATTGTGGGAAAGGATATGGGAAGTGGTTGCATAACCTAAGCCTGTCAATCAGAACAGAAAAGCACCTAACTCCGCCCCTAGTAAGCAAATCCTCCTGGACCCAGGAAAGGAAGCCACTGGGCAATGATTAGCCTCCAATCTTGAGCTGCACCAGTCTCTCAGAGCCAGGCTGCTCTCTAGTGGGTATTCTTTAGCCTTGCTTTTGAATAAAACCCTTTGTTAGCCTCTTGTGAGTGCTCCTTCAGTTCGAAGACTACACTGGAAACACCCAGAATATACAGGCACTCCAGCAGACCATGAAGAAACGATAGGACTCCATAAGAAAGCTGAGCAAATGATCAATATACAGTTTAAAAGGAAAAGGCCCAAGGCCTACTAAGAATATAAAGAAAGTTACAACTTCGTTAGCAATTTTGGAGGAATTGCTATTAAAGTGCTTGTCCCTGTAAGAGTTGTAAAATTAGAAACGCTGCCACTGCCAGGTGGCCGTGGGGAGTGGGAACTATTAGTTCTTTTGGTGGGAGTTTATCACACATCTATAGCTACAGAGAAAAGCACCCCAGTCCTGCTGACTTCCAACAGCCATTTTACTAGCTCACAATTCTGGAGGTAGGGAGTTTGGAGTGGGCTCTACTTGACAGCCATTTTCTGCTCTGGTATCTCATGGCTCACTAAAGTGTTTGGCATCTCAGGTGAGGAGGTTAGCCTACCTGGAGCATCTCCCACGTGTCTCTCAGCCCCGTGAGGTTAACTTGGGCTTCTGTATGATGTCAGAAGGGCTCCAAGCGCAACAGTAATGGCTCCTGAGATCTGGTGCAGACCTCACACAATAGAGTTAGAAAATACTGTTACTGCTCAAAACATGTACAAGATTAAATCCAGCGCCAGGGAAAGGGAGGATGGAAAACGAAAGCCACTCTTTTCTTCCCTGGAGACCGAACCCGGGGCCTGTAATGAAACCTTTTGATGGGATGTAATCAAACCTTATAGGCCTTTCAGTGGCCTTTACTCTAGAGAAGACATTGGTTCAGCCATTCTAAGAACAATTCTGTACGGCTCTTAAAATTAAATATAGTTAATTAATATATATTATATATATAATATAAAATTAAATATATTCAGTTCTATGGCTCAGAAATTTCCTTTCCTGCAATATGCATCCCAACTATATTCCTTTATAGGTTCATAAAGAGATAGATTATTTTGGTATTAGGGATTTAAGAGACAACTGGCTAACTGTGATTTGCTGGGAGGGTTATCAGAAATGAACACACACCAAGGAATATGATGTATTAGAGCTGCGTGTGGTGGAACACACCTGTAATTCCAGCACTCCAGAAGCAGAGGCAGGAGAATCATTGAAAATTTGAAGCCAGCCTGGTCTACATAGTAATTAATTCCAGGATAGCCACGGCTGCACATTTATTTGATTGTAATACCAGAAGCTCTCAGAATGATGCACCTATCAATGCTGCTCATAATAAAGGCCAGTGGGAGGATCATATATAGAACCCCCAACTTAAGATAGAGAAAAGGGCTCTAAGTTCAATCCCCTGTGGTGGGAGTAGAATTTATTTCCCTTCCCCAATTTCTTTTGTATCTGATTCTTGACCTTGTGATTTTTCCTGGACAAGAGCTTATCTCTAAAAACAAAACAAGACAAAAATAGGGCTTGGGATATAGCTTAGTGGGCAGGGTGCTTACCAGGCATACAGGAGGCCCGGGGTTCAATCCTTAGCACGAGGCACAGTGCTGCTGTTCCCAGTGCTCTGGAGGCAGAGATAGATCAGGAGGTCAAGGTCATTTTTGACTCTGGAGAGCAATCTAGGCTGGCCCCGGGGTCTCAAAACACAAGTCGGCTGAATAAATGGAAAATATATAAGATACACACAAAACAATAAACTGTATAAACAAGAAACAAAAGATACATATTAAACACATTACAATTAATGCCATTACGTGTCTTAAAAGGAAGTGAACGGGAAAAAGAGATAAATAATTGAATGAATGCATCAATCAATCACAAAGAAATCCAGCCAGACCAAACTATGATATACCCGAAACTGAGAAGTGTAATTACCTTAAAGCCCTATACTTAAGGTCCAGGAAGAAAAAGCACGGCCATTGTTCCTTCATTGTCTCTGTCCCTTCCAGTGCACATGTCCCATAAAATACTAAAGCATGGCCAACAACAGGAAGAAAAAGGAAATGAGAAGTTCTTCCATTAGCAATAGTGTACAGTACTCTGCAGAGGAACCTTGCACCGTTGGCCCCAGGACAACCATCCGTCACTTTCGTAAAGATGACCACTACTCGTTCCTAACTGAGCTGACCTTCCCTCCCTCCAGGACCAAAGTGCTCTCTTCCCAGGACAGCCAGCACTACACGGAGAAACAACCTCCAAAAACAAACAACGAAAACAAAAATTAAAAAGAACAAAAAAAAAAGAAAGAAGGGAGAGAGAGAGAGAGAGAGAGAGAGAGAGGAAAGAGGAGAGAGAGGAAAGAGGAGAGAAGAGACGAGAAGAGAAGAGCACACCCTGATATCCTGATTTTCCCTAAGTTTGTCCAAAGAGACCCTCATTTATTGTAGCTGGGCACAAGGACACTCCACAAATGACATTGCTTTTGATCTTTCTCTGAGTCCTACCTATTCTTAGATAATTCACTAAAATGAGGATTCTTCACCACCCACACTGGTAGTTGTGTATTTTATGCTGATTCTCTTGTTACTCTCATGGGCAAATTAGACTGTAGTTAGTTTAGGTTTCCACTGCCAAGCGAGTGACGGGATCCACACATCTGGGTCTAAACTGAAAACCACATTTGACCTGAGTATTTGGCTTGGGTAAGGTGGGTAGTAGCTAGAGATATTTTAATCATTTTCTTCCACGGGTATGCCATATCTTGAGATATATTTTTGTGTATCCCCCAGATTTTTTAAAAGAATGCATAGAGTTTAAAAATTAATTAATTTAATCTGGATGTGGTAGTTCATGCCTTTAATATCTGCAATCTGGAGGCAGAGACAGGTGGATACTTGAGTTTGAGACCAACCTGGTCCAAAGAGTTCTAGTACAGCCAGGGCTACACAGGGAATTCCTGATTCCAAAAGTCTACATATAATGTGTGTATGTATGTATATTATGTACATATAATGCGTGTATGTATGGATGTTTATATGTATATATATTATAGATGCAGGATATGTTGTATGTGGGGAGTATATGCCACAGAGTGGACAGCTTTGTGGAATTGTTTCTCCCCTTCCACTTTTATGTGAGTTCTGGGGGCGGGGGTGTCTAGGCTTGTGCGGCAGGTGTCTTTACCTGCTGAGCCATCCCGTGAGACCGAGAGCCATCCCGTGAGACCAAGAGCCATCCCATGAGACCCAGAGCCATCCCGTGAGACCGAGAGCCATCCCGTGAGACCGAGAGCCATCCCGTGAGACCGAGAGCCATCCCGTGAGACCAAGAGCCATCCCGTGAGACCAAGAGCCATCTCGTGAGACCGAGAGTGAGAGTTTTTACTTAGCTTTTCAAATAACAGTCGTTTTTTGGAAAAACTAGGGGCTAGTGAATGAACAGTTTGAGTAATTAACCACTAGAGGGCATATCACACATGGTATTTGGGGTTGGGTTTACTCCCTCTCCCCCTTCAATTTTATAAAAATCAAAATGTAGATTTCAAAGTGTATCAGAAGATAAGAAGAAGAATATGAGATAAGTAGTCTTCATATAAGCGATTCAGGGAAGAGGAGGAGGAGTCCATAGGCATGGAATGAAGGGTTTTTGTTCCTTCGTTTTGTTTATGAATCAGGTTCTCCTGTTCACACTGGCTTCAAACTCCTGTACCGGAGACTGGCCTTGAACTCCTGGTCTTCCAGCCTCCACATCCCAGGGGCTGGAATTATATAGGCACACTCCAGCAAGACTAGCCTTTTGGTAAATGTTTAAGTCGAAAGAAAGGGATGGAGGACAAGGGGAAATCCTTGAAATCTAGTCTGGGTCCTGCCTTATACAATCAAATAGATGCACAAACCTTTTCATCAGCACAGAATGGGAGGAAAGAACTCGGGTTTGCTCTAAAGTAACAGGAGGTGCAGTCCCGGGGAAATGCTGCGCTGCGGACTGAAGGCGAAGGAAGCTTGAGGGAGGACGGAAAGGGAATTCCATGCTTACATAGAAGCATCAAATTTTCAATTAGGTTTTCTTATTGGCAACATATTTATATTATAGAAACCTAAAAAGTACAAATCAGTAGACATTGAGAGGTCAACTCTCCCGCTTCCCTGCTCTACCTACAACAGCTCCCCACCTTGAAGGACAACGCCCACTAATTTCTTATCTATTATAACAAAAACACGCATTTATTGACTTTTAGCTCGGGAGGTCCATGACGGTTTCTTCTCCACAGAATGCCTCTGTGCTTTGTCCCCTTCTCCCATCACCTTCGCCTTTTCCAACTTAAGTCTTGGTGATCTTCCTGCAGCGGATCACGGAGTGGCTCGTTGTCAGCAAGCTGCTAGCCCTCAAAGGCACAGCACTTTTAAAGAAGTGATGCCGTCCCCCAGTTCTATTATAATTATGCTTGTGCTTAACTTACTCTGTCTCCACCAAAGTTCTGTCAAAAAGCAAAGCTGCCATGAAAACCTCTTTATGCATGTCGGTTTTCTATGCCTGGATCTGTAGGATAAATATTGACTGAATCCAAAGATGTTCACAACTGAAGTTCCTGCTGCTGCTGTCAATTCATCTTCCTCTACCCCCTCCTATCCTATTTTTCTATTATTTTTTTGCTGGGTTTATACTTGTTTTTTTTTTTATTTTGTTTTGTTTTTATCTTGGTCAACATACAACATGAGCAACAACATCTCCTGGTGTTTCACTTTGTGTTTTTCATTAGAGGGTCAACATCTAAAAAATACTTTATTGCTCCTTTTAATTGTATGTATAGATGTGTGTTTGTATATGGGTTTGTGTAAATGAGTGCAGTACCCACTGAGGCCAGAAGAGAATGTCGTGGAATATTATTTTAAGATGTGTTACATTCATTTATGCTGTGAAATATTTGTTTTAATAATGTAAGGTGTGTTGCATTCATTTATGTTGCATTTGTTTAGCTCTGTAATACCGTGTTACTTTACCTGTCTAAAACACCTGATTGGTCTGATAAAGAGCTGAACGACCAATAGCAAGGCAGGAGAAAGGATAGGCAGGGCTGGCAGGCAGAGAGAATGAATAGAAGGAAAAATCTGGGAAGAGAAGAAGAAGCAAGATCAAGGAGCAAGAAAAGAAGGTTACCACCCAGATACACAACCAAACACAGATTTAGAAGGAAAGGAAAGGTATACAGAAATAGAGAAAGGTAAAAGCCTATAGGTTGACTGGAGCGATGGTTCAGAGGTTAAGAGCACTGACTGCTCTTCCAGAAATCCTGATTTCCACTTCCAGCAACCACATGGTGGCTCACAACCATTTATAATGGGATCTGGTGCCCTCTTCTGGCCTGCAGGCGGAACACTATACATTAGAGAAAAAAAAAAAGTCCAGAGGCAAAAGATAGACGGGATAATACCAGTTAAGATAAGCTGGTGAAAAAAAAAAAAAAGATAAGCTGGTTAGAAACAAGCCAAGCTAAGGACAGGCATTCATAGAAGCCTCCATGTGATTTATTTGGGAGCTGGGTGGCAACAGCCCCCACAAAAGCCAAGAATACAAGGGAGTGTTAGATTCTCTGAAGCTGGAGTTATAGGCAGTTGTGAGTCACTGGATGTAGGTTCTGGGAACCGACTTGGGTCCTCTGCATAAATAGTTTCTACTTTTTAATTGCGGAGTCATTATCTCTCCTATGTTTAAGGGAAAGGCTCGTGTTAATCACGGAACAACACTGTGTAAAAGGGTACACTTCCAGGCATTATTAGCCAATTAAGACAAGAGGGGGGAAGGTACCCCGAGATGAAGGACAGGAGAATCTGAGCAGTGCCTGAACCATCCCATGAGCAAACCTTCCAATGCCACCCCTTCAGCCACCAGGCAGTCCCAGACTATGTACTGCCTTGTATTTCGGAGCCCGGCTCTTCCCAGCAAGCTGAGAAAAAGCCAATGCCAACTGGAACTCAAAGGAACAAAACGAGACAATCATTTCCAAAATGTTCCTCAAACCCCCTGGCCTTCAGCCATGCAGAGCTGATTCCTTGGGACCTTTCCCCTGCATTTTAAGATCAACTCTGTTCAACAGAAATAAAATCCTAGGTATATATATAACTTCAATTGATCTAGTAGCTATTACATTAAAGAATTAGAAGCAGAGCCAGGATAGAATGGCCCCATAATTCCAGTCTTTCATATATTTTACTCTGTAAAATCCAATCTATAAAATAAAGAAGCAACTTATTGATTTAATACAATATATGCAAATATTATCATACAAATATTATTCTTTCAACATATAGTCAATATTAAAGATCATCACTGAATTTTTTTTTCTCTTCTGAATCCTTATGATCCAGAGAGTCTATCTATACTCATTGCATCTCAAATCAGACTAGCAACACTTCAAGGGTTCAGTGCCAGCATGTGTCTGGACTAGCATCATTAATATTCTCAGAACCCGACCTTTGATCTGCTCATTAATTACCCATCCCAGCAACACTGTTTGAATTAACTGATTATTAGATATTAGCAAGGCACATGCCCTCCTACTGAGCTATATCGTCAGCCCCTACAGGCTTCCTGAAGAAAAAGTTAAATCACACAGCTAAAGGGATGGTCTTTCTCATTCCCCTCATTCTGCAAATCCAAGACTCTGTTCTCCAGCCCTTCTTCTGTGTAGGTGTGGTGGTTTGAATAAAACAGCCCCCGTAGGTCCATAAGAAGTGGTACCATTAGGAGGTGTGGCTTTGTTGGAAGAGGTGTGTTACTGTGGGCTGGCTTTGAGATCTTAGAAACTCCAGCCAGGCTTAGTGACTCTCTCAGTCTTTTCTTGCTGCCTGTGGATCCAGAACTCTCAGCTGATTCTCCAGCACCACATCTGCCTGCATGCTACTATGCTTTCCGCCATGATGATAATGGAATAAACCTCTGAACTATAAACCAGCCCCAATTAAATATTTTCCTTTATAAGAGTTTCCACAGACATGGAGTCTCTTCACAGCAATAGAAACCTTAACTTAG